TTTTTTAAAACCCAATTCAAACCCCTATTTCTTGTGTTTTCTCACACCTTCAATGTTAAGCAATTGTATCATAATCTATAAGGAAGATAATACTATGGGAGGTCAGTGAATAATAATTTATGTACCATACATGTTATAGATATGATAAAAATCATACTCCTAAAACATGTAGCACAAGTAAAAACTAAGGAGAGATCAAGCACTAAGGCAAGGAGATTGGTCCATTACATTAATCAATCCTTCATGGTAACTTAGGAAAAACTTATGCATCAATCCAAAGTACCACCAATGATCAAAGATAAATCAAATGGTAGATTTGAAATGATGAACATTCATCAAGCATCAATCCAAACATCATGAACAAGATGGACAACAAATCATCCAATTGATCATGAGAAAAGAAAAAGAAAAAAGGAGAAGGAAAGATGAAGAGAGGACCAAACTGAATCAAGTCTCAAGATCCATTCATCATCAATTTCAATCACCTTTCTTGGTGGATTAAGGCATTAAATCTATCATCAACTCAAAGAACCAAAAATGAATCAAATGATTCATTTAATGATAGATTTGAATTGATGAAGGTTCATTCAACCTCATCAACACCCAAAGTTCATTGAAATTAAGGAGAAATTTGATCAACAAGTTATGATCCAAGGCAACAACCAGCAAGCAATCCAAAATTCAGTAAAAAGCAATTAAAATGCATGAAAGTATTTTTAAATAATTTTTAAAATCAAAACAAGAAAGAAAATGAGAAAAAGCTTTTAAACTAAAATCAATTGATCAAGAAAAATACTACAAGTCAGAAACAACTCAAGGATCATATAATTTTTTTTTGGAGAATTTAAAAATAAATAAAAGTAATTTTAAACAAATTAAAATGCATGAAAAATGAAGAAAAATAGTCAATCATGAAATAAAAAAAATGGAAAAATGCTCATAAAATAGAAAATAATTTTAGAAAAATATGAAAAAGAAATGGAGTGAAAAATATGAAGGGAGCTATTTTTAATGAATTTTTAAAATAAAATGGAAAATGAAAACAAATAAAATGAAAATAAAAAGCTGGAAAAAACCAAGGCCATTAGATCTTATCAATGGCTAGGAAACAAAGAGCGCACAACCATCAGATCTCATTAAAACTGATCTAAATGTCCAAATCAAGAGAAACACGATGAACCTTAAGTAAAAGCACACACTGTATCAGATTTGAATTAAAGCAAACTCAGGCCACCATGAAGCACTTCCAGTCATCTTCTCTGATGAGTTGCTCACCAGAGTTCTGAAAATGGCAAAGTTAGATCATGAGACCTATGCTATTGTGACTGTCTCATCAGTGTGAACTCAACCATATGCTTCATTTTCATTTATTGAAAACGAGCATGGAAAATTTGATGGAAACTCAGTGAAACAAGAAAGCACGAAAACAAAAATTGACTAATATGAAAAATCAACACAAGTGAGGGGAAACGATGAGGGAGAAAAATACTACATCGTGGTAACTTGTTTGAGTCCAAAAGATGCTCAAAACTACCTTGTCCAAATGATGATCGGAGGTGTTGAAAACTGGATTTGGTTAGAGCAATTCAGTGAGCCTCAAGACTTGGTTCTTGTTGCTTTAGTTTCAGGAGATGGTAGGGAAGCTAATGAAAGCAAGAAATGGAGTTAGAAGAGCTTGGAAATGAAATATGATATCTCAAAATTTTAAGAGAAATTATGAGTTTGAGCAGAGGTTTAAGGGGCTATCCAAACATGGTTTTCATTGCAAATGCTTCCTCTATTTATAACTGAGGTGAATGAATGGGATACATGTGAGAATTAGCTGCAATAGTGTGAAATGAAGTGTGCCAAAAGTGTGACCAAGCTTGATCATGAAGTCAACCAAAATGTAGTGACAACCTTCCAATTTTGAGTTGTTTTTTTATCATAATGCATCGCTTAGCATCATCATGGACAAGACACGTGTAAGGCTTGGCTTAAAAATAAGAATTGGATAGAATTGCAAAACTAACCATGAACCATAACTCAGTTCCAAGTACCCATGTTCATAGCTAGGCCAAATACAATCTACTTGTGCATTTCTTGATTTTCTTTGAGCCAAATGATCCTTTCATGGAGGAGAGAATAATGCAAAATGAATCAATCCAAAAGGACACTTTAGGTGAAAATGGCATGAGTTAAAAGTTGAGGTCGTGACACTAAATATCATGTTAGACATTAGGTCAAACAGGTCATGACCTAGTTTTATGCACAAATGGCTTTCAAGATTTGAGGTCTTTCGAGCATGAATTGATGTTTAAGCTTAAAGTGAAGTTGTAGAGGACATCAAGAGGGGTATTTGGTCAAAAACAAGCGCCCACAAAAGTTGAAAATTGAAGGAGTTATGATCTTTGGAACATGGACATGCCACAAAATGACCTATAATCTCTCTATACTTTTGACGGTCTTCAAAGCACAATTGGATCTTGAATTGTAAAGAGAAGTTGAGGAGGATGTCAAGATGAGTCATTTGCTCAAAGAAGCAATAAAAAATGTTTAAGTATAAAGAAGTTGTGAAGTCTTAAACTTAGGCTTGAAATGTTGACTTTTTGGTCAAACCTTCTTGTACCAACTTGCAACCTTGGACTTTTCTTGTATTTCAAGGCACATTGATGATCATATGAACTCAAAATTATGTACTCTTATTTTTTCCTTGATGAAGCTTGCAATGGTTTGAAGAAACTTGTTGGTGAAGGCATGGAAATAAACACATGAACCTTTGAAAATTCTTGAAAAACAAGTCATCCAATCTTGAGATATATTTGATTAAATGAAGTTGAATGATGCTTGAGACTCCATGATTTGAGATTAGAGGTCATGATTTGATGAATAGTCTTTTAAAATCAATGGTTGACCATACTTTGACTTGAGGAATCCAAAACTCTAGCTGAGGAAACAACCACTTGATGCTCTTGATTCCAAACCCTACCTTGCAAAAGAAACAAAGTGACATAGAATATATTTTTGTATTTTGATTAGAGGTTAGTGAAATATAAAGCATATAAGTACAAAAAGATAAATAAGACACACAAGAGGTGCTTGGTGATTTCTGCATTAGGAAAACCCAAAGGTGAAGGGGTTAGGGGATAACCAAGTTTTTGATTTGATGCATTGCAAAGATGTAAATGAGGTGAGATCTTAGGGTTAAAAATTAGGGTATTACACCTACTATCTTGTTAATGAGAGGCGTGACAAGTTTATATACCACCTCAACGCTACTTCTTTGAAAGTGTTGAGCATGGACTTGCATTTTAGTGAATCATTTGCGCTGATTATTGGTGTTTGAGTATTATTGGCAGTGACATGCTCTTGTGGCCAATCTTTCCATCAAACATAACCAATGGTTGAAGCTTAAAGCTCCCCGGCAATGAAGTGCCCTTAATTTCATTAGAGAGAGACTGGGGGTCCAAAAACTCGACGTCTTCGGGCAGGTAGTATTCATGTCATCGTTGCTGAAGAGTCAAGATGTTGTGTTCTAAGATTTGGTTGTGGCGATGCATATCCTCTATAGCAACTCACATCTCTTATATGAGCTCTATTTCACTACTACTGTTGCTACTAGTGGTTATGGTGTCTCGTCATGTCACCAAGTTGAGGAAGTTGATTGAGACGAATGAAAGTTGGATGTAAGTGTGACCTACATTATTTTTACCGAGGCTCCATGGTGGATGTCAATTATATTTGTAAAAATACAATGAGCGGAACATGCTCATGTGTATGAACACAAAGGCTTTGTATATACTGAATATGTGAAATTAATAAATTTTCCTCTCAACCTTAAGGATGAGAATATTTATTGGCATAATTCGTGGACCAAATTATTAAGTGTGAGATCAATTTACTCCCAACTACTTGACTAGAGTGTAGGGATAGGAAGACCAATTCTCTCACTAGTAGGAATAGGAAGACCAACTATCCACATTAGTAAGAGAAATTATTTCTTTCTTAGGAGAATGAAAAATATCAGCCTTTTCAAGAACATGTGGCTTGACACGTATTAATTCAATTGTCTAGATACAAAAATGGATCATGTGCCTCACCCCATGAACGCAATGGGTTGGATCAAGCAGTTCATGACAAACTAAATCCCGCCCGCCCCAACGTCCTCTTCTACACCTATTTCCGTATCCATTAGAAAACAACCACACATTTATAAATCTAATATTATTTTTTTGCATTCATGCACAAATATGAGAATACTTCAAATAAAAAAAAATACTACAAGTGATAAGGAATGAAGAAATTATCAACAACAAACTTTTAAAAGCTTCTTCATCCCTCATGCACAGCTTTATTGTAATTTACCTATGGAACCATTGTTCAGCTAAGCTTCCCCCAGACATCACGTGGTCCCTATCTTTCTTTGCTACTTTCCAAACTTCACAACATTTTGGTGTGGCTACGCCTTTTGCCATCTTTTTCCGGATACCCCGTGTAAGATGTAACCATCTTTCTAAGCCAAACACAAACACATACATGTAGACCACACATATCAATCTTTTTCTGTCTCTTTAAAGCAAAGCGACCAAAACCTTTGTGCCTATTGATTCTCTTTGTTTGCAAACTCCAAACATACTGTGCATGTCCCATTTCAAATTCCCAAGATATTATTCTAAAACCTCAAATTCAAAAGATATAAAACCAACTCTCCCATTGTACATTGTAGCAAGACAAATAAAACAAAAATACTTACACAGATAAAAAGAATTAGAGAAGTTCATATTAACCTTTTATTGTTTATCATAAAATTACAATTATTCAGGACGATTTCATGAACATTACCCAGTTTAGAATGCATGTTCCCAATTCCTAATTGCTTAACCCAAGAAGCTAGGGAAATACAAACCTAAGTAAGAAAATAAAATATCTAACTTATAAATAAAACAAAGGAAATAAAAATAAAAATAATATTAACATTAACATCAAAATAAGAACATAACTCCATTTTCAATTAGTATCATTCATGAGTTAGAAACCGATCCCACAAGTTTCTCAATGCTATGAACCAGTTCAGGTGACAGTTTCTTAACCGGTTTCCGCTCCTTCTCGGGTCGAAAATCAAATCCTAAAGCCTCCGAAACCTCTTCGGAGCTCCACCCAGATTTCCGAAGCGAATCCGAAAACCGATTCACTTTCAATAAAAGAGCATCCAACACCGCTTGATTATCCAACATAACCATATCACCTTCAAAAAAACCCGAACCAGAAGCTTCCACCATTTCGGTTATATCCGGTTCGCTCCATCCACCTTTTCTCAAAACTGACCCAATCTCTTCAACGTATTTCTCAACCCATTTCGGTACCTCAAACTTTCTAATATCGAAAAACCGTTCCGGCGACTCTGCGCGCGATGACGAGCTTCTCCGCCGTCGATCAACAGCAGCATCACTCCAGAACTCTACCCATCTAGGTGTCCTCCCTCCCGCATCGAGGCTCCTCCGCGTGAAATTCACTTCTGCACAAACATTACTAACGCTCTTCTCTGTGACGGATCTCTGCTTCTTCAAAATCACAGGACCCGAACGAACTTCGGAGCCCCGATTCGGTGATTCACGTTGGAAAAAATCTGATAAGTCGATCCCACAGCAGAAGATTCGATTTTCGTCGACGTAAAACACAGGGTTTCCGGCGAGAGAGGGGTTACAAGGAATGTAGCAATGGTTAAAGATTGGGATCAATAACGGTGCTTTCTTCAGAGCGTTTCTTGCAACCCGCAAAGCTTTTTCGGGTTCAGAGGGTTTTGGACCCCAACACCGGGCCCACATCGTGTTCCTCGCGATTTGAAATGAAATAGCCGCCATAGGAAGATCCAGTGTGGCTCTAAGATGAAGCCGTGATCCCGTGGCGCGCCAGTCAGGGAATCCAGCTCCGACGGGTAAACCAGCGGTGAGAACAGCTCTGAGGTCCGGTGGGAAAACGAAACCGAACTCGGCTTCTATGCGTGCGAACTCGGCGTCGGAGAGACCTTGTTGAACCTGTATCCCTGAATTGCGGAGGTTGGTAATGATTTTATCGGCGAGAGGTGAGAATGAGAGAAGACCGTTACGTACGGTGGTTGTAGCGGCGATAGACGCGGCTCTGGCGGAGAGTCGCTTTAAACCGGCTAAGTGAGCCCGAGCCGGGTTCAGACCGGTCATTCTACGGTCCACATCAACCATTTCCAAAGTTGTATGCGTATACAGCTAGCTAGAAGTTTTTTTCAAGTGTCTTTGTTGCGTTTTTCTACGATGGAAGAACTTAAGATACTTTGCAGAGAAAGTTTGTTATTTATAGTAGTAAGCTAAAAATGATACCCATGTTTTGGATCTTTGTAATAAAAGTTTTGTATGTTTCCCATGTTACCCCTATTAGTTTAGTCAACACATTGTTTCAAATTTGATACTACTAATAGTACAAGTATTAATGTATTTTGAACAACGGCTCAATATTTGAAGAGGTCCAAATTATTATAATTGCTTATTAGAAAGTTTATGTACTATCTAGTATAAACTACTTTATGGGCTATGGACTATTTATTTAGCAAACAAAGGAAAAAGCTAACATATCATATGATGCAATGACTATTTGCATATGTTATATTAACTCGTTGAACTTTTTGATCAATTTCATTAATTTTATGGATGTTGGGCTAATTTGTGTCTCTCGATTATTAGGAATGTATGGCATGCATGTGGACCGTAAGTAATCATGCATTAGTTTGGCAAGGATTATTAAAGGCTACCTAAGCACACAAATACACAATCATAACGCAACATTGTTGATGTACTAATGTAATCTAAATCTTTTATTTATTATCATTACTAGACTTAAATTCTTGGTCAAGGTATCTTCCTTGTTTGAAGTTTGTTTTGATTAAATAATACAATATATGTCAATATTTTAAAGAAATTTTGTGGAGATGAGAGTTAGATTAGATAAGGTGTGAGAATCTCTGCATATATGATTTTTTGTGTGAGAATGTGATAGTCTCGTGTCAACCTCATTATTGTGGTATTTATGATCTTCTTGGGTCTTAAGTCTTTTGAAAATACATCTACTACTGAGAAGATGCAGAAGTGAGTAACTAGTCTCTGATATGTAGAAGAGTGGGGTTAACTTCCTCATGACTCACTTTACATCACAATAGATAATGGATATGTTATTTATCCATCTTTTCCATGTCCGATGACTTATTTTAGATATAGGCGACACATTCGATAAATGTGTACTCCTTCAGCGATTAAGAAGGTTCTAGGACGAAACGATACTTTCCCCACCTCTTTTACTGGCTGCCAACGACCATTTATAAATATACTACTACAATGTTTGGCTAGTGGTGTTTTAGGTTGATGTCTTTCGAGTGTTTATTTTTTCTTTAATGTTTAGTTTTTTGTTAGGTTTTGTTTTTGGTTGGTTTTTGTTTTGTGGTATATATATTTCAAATCAAGTAAAAAAGATATAAAGAATATTAAAGATATTTAAAGCAAAAGAGATTTAAGTTAAATCATAAAACCTCAAACTATAAAAGGGGAATTAAAAGACAACATGCATTAAAAAAAAAATCACACTACAATGATCCTAAAACATCAATAGCCAAAGTAACAAACAAAAGATAGATCTCCATCAAGAATCTAAGAAAAGAAAGAAGACATGTCAAATAGACGCAAAAGACCAACCATGTCCTTCAACCACTCACATCCATTATCTGCTCATGCAAAGAAAAAAATATCTCTCTTATTCTCTTTGAGAGTAGGTGTTGCTTATCAAATTTCTGGGAACCCACTTCCTCGAGTAGCATTTAAATCTAATCACCCATTTCTCAATACTTGACGCCTTTCCTAATAGATGATGTCATTACGAACCTTTTAAATAGTCAATACCACAAAATATCATATCACAACAAAACAAAATTCAACTCTTTTATCTTTTCAAAAGGGCTAGAGTCCTTTAAAGATACCAAGAATAGAGTTTGGCAAAATCATCACTCCATCTAGCTGCCTAAATATATTACACCAAATGTCTAAGGTGAAGTCACATGTTGCAAACATATGGTTAATAAGCTCCACTTAATAATGTTTTGGTCCATTATAACCCCCATTCTAAAATGATTATGCATATGAATCATATCCTATAAAAGCTTCTGGTAAAAAAACATTAACCTTGCTAGGAGTCTAACTCCTCTGCATGATAGTCAAATTATCCATCACTCTATTTGCTCTAGATCCCTCACCACGAGCACACCCAAAAAAGGCTAGATATGTGTAGTTGGATGAATACACACTATAATACCCCAATTTTGATCTTGAATCGCTAAATTAATACAGTTATCATAGAATATGCATCATTTGCATAACATGACATGCATTTCATCTTGCATAATGTCCAAATTTTCAATCAGAATAAATTTGTAAGATTTACAGACAGACCGATCAAACTGAATCTCAACTGTGCGTAAAATAGTGGACGAATTTTTTTATAATTGAGCTTCCAGACGTCATTATTCTTAGTCTACGGTTTGGGTAGTTTAACATGGCGTACTCGCCTTAATTTTTCAACTATTTTTTCTATCGTGTTTTGATTAGTCTGAGCCTTTTAACCGATGAAATTTTATTTCAAAAATTGATTAATCGTTGTGCTTTTCCAATATGTTTATTTCGCGCTAATTATTTTGGTGCATTCAGTTTTATTTTTCGGAATTTTTTGCGCTCTACTTTTATTTGTTTTGAGTCAATTTTTTTGTTTATTTTTTAGTCAAGATATTCATAACAAATACTTAAGGTTCTCTTTATTTTTTTCTAATTATATTTTACTTATTTTTATTAGTTTTGATTTTACTTAGTTTAGTTGTTGTAATTCATTTTCACATTAAAAAAAATCAATCAGAAAATATATTTTGAATGTATTTTTTATTAGGAAACCATAATATACATATGTAGAGTACATAACGCATTGCTTGGAAGTGAGAGAGTGTTCAGTAAACCAACATGACAAAGTGCGACACAATTAAAAGAGAGAGTATTGGTGGTTTCAAAAATAATTCATCGATAAGCATGTGAGTTGCAAGGATGCCAGGATGCAACATTGTCTTTCCAATTTTATGAAGGAGACTCTCACTTTTGTCTTCATGTGTCAATTTTATCATTAAAAAAACAAATAAGAAAAGTTAGAAGCAGAATTTTCCGTTTTCAACTTCATCTTCACACACAACACAAACATCTACATCTCATTCAACAATTTTTTCAGCATAAAAAAATATACCATAGAACACCAAGGACACAGTGATCCGTGTTGCCATTCATTTTAAGCCAAGCACCATAAAAAGGAGGTGAATCTCATCACATGAAAGACCATAAAAAACTTCTCCTCCCATCACTTTTTACCACTTCATCCCTTCACTATACATTTTCTTCATCCTCATAGTAAACACACATCACCCTTTAAATCATCTTTTTTCCACCATATCACATAACACCCTCCTTAACCACACTTTTTTCATAACCATCATAAACAACAACACCATGTAACAACCTTAAAAAAAACCAAATCATGAAATTCATAAATCCAACCAACATACACAAACCACAACTCCACCTCAATAATACAAGTGATTCACTACATGAAACAACTTTGTAACATCCATACACAAACTGTGTTTCACCCACCGCATTTGCAAACCTTTCCATCATTTTCTTGTTAACAAAACAAACTTCGCGATCTCTCACACATAATTTTCTTCAAAAAAACATTACCTCTCTCCTCACCTGTTTCACCCACGACTTGATTCCTATTCACAACCAAAACATCTCCTTCACTGCAAACAACAACAACACACCATCGGTTATTGCTTACAACTAAACTTTTTTGCTCAATGAAAAACTAAAGTATGGAGACATACTCAAACCTCTCAGATGTTGAACACATAACAACGAAAAAGTTCCATTACCGTTAAACAATGCCCAACCTTACAACTGAAGGTGAGATAATACTTAGAAGGGGGGGTTGAATAAGTATTAAGATTAAAATTTAGAAATAAAATCTCAAGTATTTTTATCCTGGTTCGTTGAACTCAACTACTTCAGTCCACCCTTCCTAGAGTGATTTGCCTTTCTCAATCAAGGACTTAATCCACTATTAAATCAACTGATTACAATAGTTAGCACTAAGAACAACTGTTCAAAGTCTTCTCAAGAACTACTGATCCTAACTGGATCTTCTTAAGGTTTACAATCAAATGTAAAACAAATACAAGTGTTTAAGATTGCTTCTATAAAGCTTTATCACAACTGTGATTTTTCACTTAACTATTTAGAACAAAGAAATTAATTCTTAGAATGAATATGAATAGTATGAGAGCTTGAATGTTGATTTCTTTTCATTTAATAAAAACGTCAACTGAAGAAATTGGTGAAGTCTTGCTTTTATAGGCAGCTGATCCAAGGGAGCTTCACGTTGAGAAGAGTGTCCAAAAGGTCTGAGCCTTTTTGTCTTCACATCAAGTGACCTTTCCTAGAAGAAGAAAGCACAGATAAATCCTTTTTGTCTGTGTTCTTGTGTCTAGCATAAAAAAGGAAAGAGACGTTTGGGTCATTCCAACGGATATAAACTTTGAATAATTCTTCTTTAGTTTTCAGCAAATTCATCAGAGTCTAATTGGGTCAGAGCCTTCTGATGATGATCAGAGTTTTGCTGAATCAGAGTCTTCTGCAGCAGGTGTGTTTTTAGCGTGTTTAAGATCAGAGCATATTTGAGACAGATCTTCAATACTGGCAGCTTTAGTACTTTCAGAATCTTCTGTAGAAACTATGCTTTAAAAAAAACTCTTCATACATAATTCTTCTATGGTTCAGATGCTTCTGACTTGCTTCAGATTCTTCTGGAGCTTCTGCTTCAGATCCTTCTGGAGGCTACGCTCAGGATCTTCTGTTGGCAGCATTCAGAATCTTCTAATGATTGCATCTGGCGCTACAGAGTCTAGCAAATTTCTTATGTTCAATTCTGATTTGCTTCTGGAGTGTTAATTCCTTTACTATCTGCAGTAAAAACTCTCAGGCAAATTTTAGAGTATATAATTCTTAATTATAAAATTTCATAATAGTTATCATCAAAACATAGAGATATTATTAAGAACCAATATGTGTTCTAACAATCTCCCCCTTTTTGATGATGACAAAAACATCAG